ACACATAAATGGCACTTACACTGACGATATTATTGCTGTAATACTTTTTACTGTTTTGAAACACAAATATTTGTGTTCAGCAAAGTCTCCTGAGTATAACAGTACCCCTCATGTACAGGTTTTATGGTGTTTTCAAAAGTTACAGAGTCAAATATAAAGCTTGCGTTTCAGTTTTTTCTCATTGAAATTCGCCAGATTGGTTATGTTGCCTTTGAGACCGTATGGTAGCCCAGGAATAAGAATTACCCCCATGATGGCATACCATTTGCAAAAGTAGACAACCCAAGGTATTGCAAATGGGGTATGTTCAGTCTTTTTTAGTAGCCACTTAGTCACAAACTACCATACAGTCGCAAAGGCAACGTAACCAATCTGGCGAATTTCAATGTGAAAAATATGAAAAATGTAACATGCTATATTTGACCCTGTAACTTCCCAAAACACCATAAAACCTATACATAGGGGGTACTGTTTTACACGTGAGACATCACTGAATACAAATATGTGTATTTTATTGTAGTACAAGCAAACAGTATTATGACATTCACAGTTAAAATGTCATGTAGAACTAAACATTTTTTTAAAAAAAATTAAATTTTTTTATTCATATTAAATTATGTTTTATACCTAAATATTTGATGTTAAATGAAAGCCCTGTTTCCCCTGAATAAAATGATATATAATAAGTGTGGACATAATATGAAAGAGGCGAATAACGTCTGAACAGACATATAGCGCAAATTAAAGTTTTTGTTTACGTTTTGTTTTGATCACAACGTGTACATTTGGCTCAGTCCTTAAGAGGTTAAAGAACAAATGCAATGTTTAAAATAAAGTGTCAGTGTTGGTTCCCTCTGGTTGGCAGATTTAGGGACAGGGGACCCCTGTGTGATACCAGAAGTGCTTGGCATCTTTATGTTTGCACGTTTAACAGGAGACAGAAAATGTCCTGATCTCACTGGGTTCCAAGTATGCTTAGTGTTAAACCCACACACAAATACTGGAATAATGGGGGCATCAATGATTTAAATAACATAAAGGACTGATCACAGGGGTTAAAAGTCCTGGACTTTTATCTCTCTTGTGTTTACTTCCTGCTTGTTGATGTGCTCAGTGGGCTTCCCCATCCTTTGCTTGATTTATACGATCCTGATATTGGGCGAACTATGATCGATTTAAAAAAGTTCCAAGCAAAACTCGCTCGATTTTGAACACAATATATTTCATTACATGGTTAGTCACTAAATGCTGAATTTTTGCAAATTAAATATGAATGGAAAAACTGAGGCAAAAATATCTGATCTGGAAAGCTGCCGTCTCTTTCTTGCACCAAAGTTTTGCCGTTCGGATTTAATTCACAAGAGTTCAGAGTTTAATGAATAACCCTAATATTTTCATGTAAACTGAATTTTCCATCGTTGCACTAACTGATGTTTTCCATTAGTAAATAAAGGCAAACGTCTGTGCTTGTTTTTGTACACTGTAAAGGTTATTTACTAATGTGAGAATTGCCAGGATTTCAAAGTTCAAAAGACCTAAACTGGAGAAATTCGGCTATGCTTTCAGCTCAGCGACTCTGGCCTTAAATTTTACATTTTTCTTTGCATTCACCTTGAATTTTTGCTTTATAATCATGTGAGCCAGTACAGCAATGTCAGTTAGCAGTAAATTCCCCGCAACCGCCAACAGAGGGCAGCATGTCTTTTTATATGACTAATTATCCCAGTATGGGGTTATGTATACTAGTAGGTCGTTAGGATTTTCATTGAAAATAACGTCTTATGCTTATTTTAATTTTTTTTCTCACCCACCAGTGTATTGGATAAATATTATGTTGGAAAAATATATATTGTAAAATTAGGCATTACAGTCAGCACCTTTTAAAATAATTGGCATTTCAGAGAAACAGGAAAATACAGTGTATTAATGTGTATATGTTATGCATGCATTCATAATTTCATCACAGATATAAATATAGGGAGACAGGTTTTTAAAGCTATACCAACTCATACCAAAAAAAAATAAAAACATCCAATGCAAACTTAGTGACTGTTCTAGACACGGTTGAATAAGTAACTTACTTAATATTAATATAGCTAATAGCACTCCTATTATTTATAAAGCTATTGTGGATTCCTCCACTAATTCACGTTTTGGTCATTAACGTGAGTTTATTTACTAAACAGTAAATTGTGTGAACTGAAATTAAATGCAAAATTCGGACTAAAATAGCCTAGATGGGGGGCGGAGCCTAACCAGCAAGCTGGCAGGACGTGCTCTGCAGGAGCTTCTGTCATACAGGCACAAATTCTACCAACTACCCAAGCTGTAGAGCCACAATCCTCCTACAAGTGTGCCCACGACACAGGGGACACCTGCCGGAACCCACCGATACTAAACTCGACACCTGGGATGAACAGGCACCGCAACTGCAGAGTGAGGTCTACTTCAGGAGGCGGCAAGGAAAGACGGCCGCTATCCCGCCAAGCGCAAAGAGCCGCAAGCGAACCTGCTACACCACCACCCCCATGGACCGATGGGGGAGATCCCGGTCCCCGCTAGGTGGAGAACCTCATACTCTACGCCCCACGATTAAGCCTGCAATCCTCTCAAACAAGGTGGGAGATGGGTCCACCAAGATGGCGGACGTAACTGTTTTAACTACACGAGATGAACGACAGCCTACCAGAGTGGGCATCGACACCCACGCAAAGGACTCAATTGGCCTAATCTTTGACCGTTTCTGGGCCAAACTACAAGAGCACCTACAGCCAGCTGGGCCATACCGCATGAAGCCTGCGAGACACACAGCCCAAGTAGAGGGGAGACCTGGGAAATCTCCTCGGGTCGTCTGGGAGCCCCAAGCGACAGATCCCCAAATTGGGGGCCCTCCCAGCCTGAGAGCAACAGGTATAGCACCCCACAGGTGCCAGCCACACCAGTGGAAGGGGGCTAAACGTAACCGACGGAAAACGGAGTACAAGACCCACCGCACCATCCCGACAGGGACGACCCAGGGCCGATAGAGAACCCAGGCTCGTGGCACAAGGGCACAAGCTCCCGCACAGCATCGGGGCAGCAGGATACAAGCGACCTACCACAGCTCCAGATGCTCCTCGGGAAGATTGGACTTGGGATCTTTCTGGAAGCCTCAGTGCCAGAGTGCACCGACTATGGTATCCAGTGGAGACCAGACTCTATAGGCTGTCGAGCGCAACCAACACCCACAGGGGCCCCATGGCCACACCAAGCTGAGGCATTGGCTGACAGTACCATATGTCCCCGAGCACGGTACCTGTGTTCCCATCCAAGAACTTGACGCAATGCTACGGCACGTTAGCCCTTAGCTAGACATTATCGTGGAATTTATATTACATTAACCTTTTGTTTGACTATTATTCCTTTGCCCACTCTTGCACATATCCACATGTATTGTATTACCAGAGCGGAGCACCAGGGGTTAAACCCACTGCCAGTTATACCCAGACACCCGGTCATAACGAACCACCTAACTTACCCACTTGCCCTCGCATGTTTTACTGTTAGCGATGTGGGGTGGGGTGTGGGGGTCTCAGTGGTATATGCTTAGCAGACGCTAGCTACATGATTTCAGCTTGTTTAATTTTTCTTTAAGGAGCAGCAGTTTAGCATGCGTCTAAATACTCAACAATTAAATAATCTATCTGCACTAGCTTGTTATAACAACCAGCATATTGTTTTTACACCAACCGTACTGTTACAAACGCTGCCTCAGTAATGTTCTACTAATTTTGCATTATAGTTATGGGCAGACCATTACTCTTCTTAATATTAAAAGAAGCTAACAATTCTCAGAGATGATATAAATTGCACTGTATTATCCCACTTGTGTATGTAACTCTATCGTCTCCCCTTTCTCATTCTGTACCCTTGCAACTTTATGCCTCAATAAAAGAAAGATTGAAATAAAAAAATAAATAGCGACTATTTTGTTGCTGCAATACTGTTTTAATTCAGTGCAATTCACTGTTTGGTGAATACACTGTATAGTCCAGGGGTAGGCAACCTTCAGCACTCCACATGTTGTGGATTAAATTTCCACCAATGCTTTGCCAGCATTATGACCGTAAAAGGATTATGGGAGATGTAGTTGACAATATCTGGAGTACCACAAAAGAATCTTGGAAAAACACAGTTTAGATGATTTTACCCTTCACCTATTAAATAAAATATGAGTGCAGCACTAAATATTAGGTTCACTTACCTCTCAAATGTTGTTTTAGGGGTTGATAATGGACATAAAAATGATAAAGTAGAGAGAAAAAACTATAGTGTTATATTGTTTCACAGTCATAAATTTGAATTTATATATACAGAGAACTCACATTTATCAGAGCCTTTAGTTACAATATGCTCTAAACAATATCTGAAGTGCTGTAAAATCCCATACCTCTGTGTATAGTCCTTCTGCACAGTGCAAAAGAGAACGGCTGAATTTCCATTTGTCCATTGAAGAAAAACTAGTTAAAGCGGGAGGAAGGTGTGGTCTTTTTTGGTCTTTGCTCAGCAATGCATAATAAAACCAGCCCTGTGTAACAGGGTGATTAACTCTGTCTATGTATGTGCAATATTATTATTATTATTATTGCAAATTAGAAAGTACCAACATATTCTACAGCGCTGTACAATTGGGGGAAAAACAATACAGTATAAACAGATCAAAACAAAAGTTAGAGGGCCCTGCCCGTGAGCTAACAATCTAAAGTTTAAAATGGGGAAATGAGACAAGAGGTATCAGAGGAATTTGGAGGTGACAGCAGAGTGAATTAATAGCTGAATTGCAGTAAATGATAACATGAAATATAGCTTAATGCAGACTAAATTAAATATTTAAGTGTAATTGTTATTATGAGTATTTATATAGCATTAATATTTTCTGCAGCACTTCATATTACATAATTAGTGATGTCCCGAACGGTTCGCTGCGGACTCATCATTGAGTAAACTTTGACCCTGTACCTCACAGTCAGCATTCCAGCCAATCAGCAGCAGACCCTCCCTCCCAGACCCTCCCACCTCCTGGACAGCATCCATTTACATTCATTGTGAAGCTGCATTCTTAGTGAGCTGTCCAGGAGGTGGGAGGGTCTGGGAGGGAGGGTCTGCTGCTGATTGGCTGGAATGTGTCTGCTGACTGTGAGGTACAGGGTCAAAGTTTACTCAATGATGAGTCCGTGGCGAACCGTTCGCGAACCGTTCGGCAAACCGTTCGACGAACCGTTCGGGACATCACTATACATAATGTCAACAAGTTCTGTTCCTGAATCATTTTTTATAGGACATAATAATTTATTAGAATATTGAACAACTTCTAACCATTTTATTTCTTTCGAATTTCCATACCAATGTGAAGAGAGCAGGACATATTCTTTAATTTGTGATAAATGTGCCCAATGAGTTTTTGGGTGAAAAATATTAAAGTGGTACTATAGACACCAAAAAAACTTTAACTTAACAAAACTAGTTTTGGTGTATAGATAATGTCCCTGTTTAATAGCCAGGAGAGGTATTGATAGGGCTGCATGAATAGACGCCTAGCAAGCAGCAAGTGCCTCCAGTGGCTCTCTGATTGACATCCACTAGATGATCTTTAGAAACTGCAATAATTAACATTGTAGGGTTAAGGGGACAGGGACATTACACCCAGACAATGAGCTGAATTGTTCTGTGTGGCTATAGTTTCTCTTTAATGTCTAAATGGCAGAGAATTGAGCAGCGATCTATACACCATTACCACTTAAACTAAAGTTGTTTATGTACTTAGACACTACTTAAAATACCGCTTCCGATTACACAACGGATGCCTGGGACCGGTCTTGTAAATACTGCAGGCTTTCATACAATATTGTCATTTTCTCCCCTATTTGTTTGGGCTTTGTGATGTATATTAGCACTTTCTGCCAAGACGTACAATCATATATCTAAGAGCTTAAGTCGAAAATGTTCATTTCTACACTAGTGAATTATTTTTCTTTGCTATCAGCTTAAACTGGTAATTATTTCTAACAGGTGAATAAAGAATTTGGACATGTTAAGGCACTATAAGCTTATTGACCATATAAACGTTGTATTTCTGAATAGAAGGATTGTAGTTTTATCTTCTTTAAGTTACAAGAGATTGTTTCAATAAATTACATTTTTCTGTAGATCAATTTGAGTACTGGGCACATTAAAAAAGACAAGTATTGGTGTTTATCACTATATAAGCATTTATTGGTACACTGCTTTTAAACTGTCAGTAATAATCTTCCTGTAATGTATTTGATTCACTGAAACCTCTATAATCAGTTTATATTCCTCAACAAAATGTATCAAATCATCATTTATATTTGTTTTTTATCAATTAATATAATTTAGATGAAATATTTATTTTATTAATAGAATTCTGGTCGTGAGAGGTAACATATTGTAATGCTTACCATTATTTTCCCAATCTATAACCAAGGTTGTATTTCCTCAAAGCTACACTAGGCACTAGACTTGTGCAAAGCAAACATTTTCGGTACTTCTGATGAATTTCAGGTTTACAAAATTTTTTGGTTCTGAAGAATTTTGGTTTGGAAAACGTTGTTTTAGTTTGGAAACTCAGATCGAAATGAATATAACCAGGGAAGCTCTAAAATGAAGGATCAAAATTGCATATAGTGTCCCTTTAATAAAAACAACAACTATCATCATGCAAATAAGTGATTCAAAGTTGTGAATGAACTGGATCCACCAGCTATCCCACTATTTGGAATTTGGATATATTTTGTTTTAGAATGCAAAAGGGCACTGAATTGGCCAAAATTCAGCCGAAATTCCAATTTGGAACAAACCATATCTCCAAGTGTACTAGGCACTAAATGCGTATTGGGGTACTCTAGGATGATAGTGGGAATGGATGGGTGTGTCAGCTACTGTCCATAATATACTATACCTCCCATTTCTCTTTGTATGTTAACTCGTTCTTCCCACAATAATTTAGTGAATACACCAATTTATTTCATCCAGTTGTATGCTCACAAAGCATTTTATTATATTTATCATTCGTTTTAGACTTTGACTTAAACTCTGTAGAGGGGATGTGAAGGTGGTGGATACACAAGTATGATCAAATGAAGAACCAATATTCCTAATGCCTTAAGGGTCTCTGTTCATAGGTCCATGGGTCCCCCATGTGTGTCATAAAAATAAAAATACAGCTTTTTGCTCATCTTTTTCCAACATTGAGTCTCCCTTTGTGCTGCTCACCTCTCCTGCTCCAGTGACTTCATGGAAGAGGCATGGCTTCCACCGCAATGGTACAATCAATGCTTTCCCATGGGGGCTGCAACATCATTTGACTGAATTTTGCTCAGTCTTTGCAGTGGAAGTGACTTCAGTGGCTGTCAATGTAACTGAGCCACTGGAGGTGCGTTTAACCCTTCGCGATAAACATTGCTGTTCCTGCAAAACTGCAATGTTTTACCTTGAATGGTTAAAATTACAGGACCACTGCACCCAAATTATAAATACCCTTTTTTGTTTGGCCTGGTGGCATGTCATATCATTGCTCCCTAGGACTAGACTAGTAGCATGCATAATTGTCCAGGGAATTGCAAACTTTAAGAGAATTTTTGCAAATCACCTATTTTGTTCTTATAAAGTGCAGCTCCTTTGTCAGTTCTCTGCACTTCCCAGTGAAGGGGATACACCTTTTTTTAAAAAGCATATTTAAAAAAACTAAACAAAATTATACCTGCATCTATTCCATTTGGTAAACTGTAGATATCCTTGTTGTATGGATGACCATATTATTTTCTGTCTTGTGTCCTGCCTGTGGACTGAAGCAAAAAAAATAATAAATAAATAATATTCTTGTTATTAAAATTGTTTTTTTTTTGTATCTTATTTGTCATCACTGCATTAATTTTTAATATTATATACAATAACATCGGGAAGGGATTTTGGACTGGTTTGGTCACAAAACAAGTCATTCATTTGTACTCACCACCCAGGCTGACATTTGCTGGGCTAATGATTACCACCAGCACCGGCCGTGGAACCTATACAGAGTTTTTAGTATCTCATGCAATCTTTAAACCTAGAACTTTGTTTTTTGTTTCCAGGAAATTTCTGCGTACTTGAATGTCCCAAGGGGACATACAACATCAGTGAGGAGGCTGATGGCTTGAAACTTGGATTCTGCTCAGCTTGTCATGAAGTTTGCTCAACGTGCAATGGAGGCTCTGCCAAACACTGTGATATTTGTGCTGCTGGATATTACAAACTTCTCCATCTCTGCATTCTGCACTGCCCCCCGGGGTAAATAGAGTAAAATGGTTTCCTTCTAAATATCTTTTATTTAACTTTTATGATTAATGTATCAACTTAAAATATTAGACATCACACACAAAAAGTGTTTTCATAGAGTTCATAATAGTGTAAAAAAATAGACAATTCTTCTTTGTATAAAATATTGTTGGCTTTATAATGTTTTACCCTACTGTGTCCAGTACTCTCCAAGTCTCTTACAAGGGTTTTTCACCAAAGTCGATAACTAATCGAGCCTGGATAGCAAATCACCAAATGTATAGATCACTAAATCTAGCAAGACAGCTTCCGAAGGAGAGGGACACTCCACTGTCCAATTATGAATCCAAAATCCCTGTTTAGTAGTAATAACCTAATGAAAACATGCATGCATTAAATAATTTTTTTAACTGGGTAGATATTTAAAAACATCTTGCAAAATCTGTTGATCTCTTTCTAACTTTGCCCAGACTTTCTGTGACTGTCCAATCACAGACTTCCCAATGCAGGTTCTCTGAGCAATTGCTGCCTCTAGAGTTTAGCTCTACTGAGCTAAACAAAGAAGGAAGTGACAGAACTGGTTGATTGACTGGCAGCCAGGGGGTGTAACAAGATTAATTTATAGAAGTGCTAATTTCTATTAAAATCTGCACTTTTGTAAAATAGAAAAAAAAGATGATTGGCGTGTTCACTTAAATACTCACCGGATTGTAGATTTTCTGCATACTATCAAACTCTTCAAATCCACTTACTCCTTGTGCGTGTCACAGCCCGTAATAGCTCAATGCTAAAAGCAAGAGCATAGATAGATTTGTACAGCTGCGACAGAGTGCATAAGTCAGAGAATTGTTTAATTATACACAAGGCACTTGGCTGGGAAATTATGTCCCGTCAAATCGAATCAGAAAAGTTCCCTGCCTGGCTGAACTCCTATCGTGTTCAGTGAGATTCTGGCTGAAGCTGGTGGGAGTTAAAATATTCAGTTGATTTAATGGGATTGTGCTGCAATCACTTGCTAAATAGCTTATGTGAGAAAACATGTGTATTGCTTTCCTAGGGGGTTTTGCATGACGCTGGATGTCCTCATGCATGGTGTTAGTTGACCAATAGTCGCTTAACGACCAGTAAATCCCTCTAGTGGCTCTCTGGTAGACAGCCACAAGAGATGGAGTTAACCCTCACATGTAATACTTTCAAAAACATAATATTCAAGGATATATTTTTTTAATTGTAGTGTAATAGCTTTTTGATCCAAGGATAAATCTGTCTGCCATTCTAGGGTCAATAAGGATTTTTTCCCTACTTTGCTTCAAACTGGGTTTTTTGCCTTCTTAACAGCAAAAAAAAAACAGATGTGAGGAAGGTTGAACTTGATGGACACGTGTCTCTTTTCAGCCTATTTAACTATGTAATGATTGCAGTTTATTAAACCTTTGTAGGGTTAAGGGACCTGAGACCATGCACCCAGGCCACTTCAATGAGTTGAAGTGGTCTGGGTTCCTATAGTGTCCCTTTAATGCACGTCTATGAGAAGAATTTGACAATGCCCAAAACTAATTACAAGGAAAACATGGGGTGGATCTTGGAGATTAGATGCAGAGACCAAGTATACAGATAAAGAAAGGTACATTTTCAGAGTTTATGATATATTTGTGCATAGTTTAGTAAATACATACTTTTTTTGCAGCGGTTTAAATATATATGCATTTTTAGATGAAAATTTTTCCCTTCATTTTAAATATTTGCCCACCGCAACTTGTTTTCTAATGAGCAAATATTGTGGATTCATGTAGATTCACTTGCAAAAAACTAATGAAATAATTTACTAAATTAATTTCCTACTAAAACATGTTAGATTG